TTGTTTGATGACGTCATTTAATTGCATCTTGTTTAGCTTCACGCCCTCTAGAATTAGAGGTGCAATACTAAAATTTGATTGCTTGTTTAAGCCTGCCTTTGTTCCTGTAGAATCCTTTGTTTGTGTAGAAGCCTTTGTTCTTGGACTATGACTCATCGCCATTGTTCCTCCAACATCAGCTACTGCTGTTTGACCTTGTTGTGAATAAAATAAATGTTGCCTTTGTTTACTTGCACCTGTTCCTCCTTTTTTTGGAGGCATAATTAAGAGACCACCTGACGTAAAAACACCTGGAGATACTAACCTTAATTAATAATTCCAAAAATAATTTGAAAATTGGGCGTAAAATCAATTAATAAATAAAAAATATAATCGACGAGTTTAACAAAGAAAATGTTCGTAACCGACAAGATAGAATGCGACCTATCTCGACCGTGAAAAATAACGAATGCGTTCATATATTGATGATGTTAAACGAGGTAATGCGAATTTAACTAATACTTCTTCAATATTTATAACACGAGGTCGAGTAGACATAAATTCTAATGTACTGAAAGTAAATTACCATGTATCAAAAGGTAAATAATGATAAATCTTTTGAATATAAACCAAAAATCTTTTAAATTAAAAGCAAAATATTTGTTATATTATTTTCATGATCTTGGTTCAACGATACTTCTATTAATGAACTATATGTTTCACAATATGTACCCAGGGGTTCATGAGATCAATTATATCAATTCCAATCAATACTTGACGACTAAAATTGATCATAAAGAAATTGAAAATTGTTAATTTTTTGACTTATTCGTCCATTAATTTATCTGGCATTATTACATTAAAAAAAATCTTTATAATATATCTGAAATTAAAATGCCGAATATTTGTCTCTAATGATGATCTACTGTTTTAGGTATAGTTAAACGTACATGAAGAAAGCGATACATGGATAGAAGAAAAATCGAAAACAAATAGATCGTTGACCATGTGGACAAAGCTAAGGAAGACATGTGATGATAACTTATAACGTATCAACTGAGCAATATTTTATTTTCGTTCTTATCGAAATAAAAGAAATAAAATCAGCTATACATGCCATAGGGATTAAGTATAACATATTTACAAACAAGTTAAAGGAAAGTAAATGTATCAGTGATTGGTTGATTTCAAATAAGAAACAAATAGTATAAGTATATCTTGATTCCAAATGACATTTGATCTTCACTTCATTGTAGAAACAATTATTTCCAATAACGGAAATATCTCTAGTCTTCCATATTGCTTCTTAGATAGAAATTCGTAAATTCAAGGAATAACGAATTGCAGAAACCTAGCAACAAAAGAGTTCATTATTTAGCTGGTGAATGCGATTTGATTATAATTATGTTGTTTCTTGATGGGAGCATTGCATGCCTCAAAGTGAGTGCACTAAATACAAGAATTTCTATCTGAAAAATTCGAGATCGAAAATACTCATCATTACAAAACAGGTACATTCGATGAGTTCATAGTTTGTTTGATCTGATCAAAACAACATCTTATCTTTGCAAAATTTGATGATAAAATCATATCGTTCTTATTTCAGTTTAGTCAGCGAAGGTATTTTAATCATCTTCTATTTATCATGATACCAACATGAATTCATCAGAAGAAATGATATTCTGAATCAAATTTCAGCATATTATACGCATGGAGATGAATATTTCATTAACAGGACAAGTATAAAAGAATGTGAATAAGTCACTTTTTTTATCAATTTTTACGCTGAAGAAATAGTGTACGGTGCTATTGTTTTACAATACAGTTTAAGAAACTTCAATATACACTAAGTTTACAGAGACTGACTATGCCAATAGTGACACAAGTCATTGAGGACATCTTATTTTTGGCAGGTCTTCTTGGTCCGTTATCACAAGCGCGTAGAAAAAATTTGCAAGATACGTGTTTGTAGTTCACTTACGCCAGTTCTACCAATAAAAGTCTGAGAAAAGTATTATTACTGGAAAAATAAATCAAAACGATGCCACGAAATATAAACAAAAAATATATAGTACTTAAGATGTTGTAGTAAAATTCATTATGAATTAACTAGAAAAAAAAAAGATTTCTGAGAACAGAATGATTTAATCATGTTCCATCGCATGTTTTTTGCAGTCAAAACAGTTAAAATAATTTCTTTTATTATTCTGAAGAGTTCTTTTTGTTGCTGTCGTTCTTGTTTTCGTTGAATACAAAAAAACATTAAATCGACGCCCCTTTACTTGAGTTCTGTATCAGAATCACATTGTTTGGTTGATAGCAATGCGATAGCTATAATTGAATCATACAGTATTTATCAGTCGGTAAAAAGACGGTTTCGTAATGAACTGTGCTTCATTTGCGTGTTCACAGTTGGATGAAAAGAATCAGCAGATATCTGTTCGTCGATATCAAATTCGAGAAAAGATCTTTCCAGTTCATGATAATTTCAAGTTTAAAGATGAATTAGATCAAGACGTATTCATAGTTCAATTGAAATTACTTACAAACAGTAATAAATTTCTTTTAGAAGATATGCTCGGCAAATAAATTATTAGGAATAGTCTTAATAGGCAGAGATGCAGGATCTACCCTGATACACAAAGAGTCGTTCAAGAAAATTTTTGAAAACGATAATATCTAGGGAATTATTTTCAAAAGTATTTTTCCATCTCAGAAAAAATGTTACAATTTTCAAAATAAATCTTTAATTGAACTTTGTAGTTGGAGAAATTTTTCCCAAAGATTTTGCGGTTCGGACAAATTTTTCATTTTACGACAGATTTTGCGCCTCTATTAATAAATAAAATCGCTAGAAAAACCAATAACGTTTCTTATCATAAAAATAAAATTTTTAATGGTTAAAACATAACTGAAAGTATTATTTTGTTGAAACTTTTTTCAATACCTACAAAATAGCTGTACACATCTAAATATTCAGAAGTTAAAATAGTTTGACCGTTCAAATTTTCAAACAAACTAGGAGTACGTACATATGTTTAAATTTTTATAATGAAATTTAAGAACTCTTTTATCACTGTTACATTTGTCTAGACAATACGGCACTTTGCCCTTCTATCAATGATTGCTTTGATAGTTTGTTTTTCTTTTCTTATACAAGAATCAGTCACTGTTCAAGTTAGTAATAAAATCATTTTTGAACCGAAAACAATAAACAGAGTAATAGTGCAAACTTTTGTATATCCATTGCGAATGACTTAATATAACAAGGTTTAATATTTATTAGCTCAATAACTGATGATATTAAGAAAGATAGTAGTTTTATTAGAAAAAAAAGTTAAAGATTAAAAATATAATTTCAATTCTGTTTAATATAGTATCATTAAAACTTTATCATGAAGAAAAACAACATATCAGGGAACTATTTTATGAAGTATACAATTCATCCATTCAAATACACAATCTTGGTCTAAATATGGAAAATTCAATGAAGCAACAGTAGAACAAAATTGTTTAATAGAAACTGCGGATCCTTCGTTAAAAGTACAAGGTGATAAAAGTATTCTACACATTCCAAAGGACTATCTCGACCAGTAATTGTCTTTAATTTGCATCTTTATTCTTTAAGAGGGACATTTTTCAACTGAACACTATACTGGCATATATTATCATTTGTATTTTCAAATGACATTTCGCTATCTAGATTGAAAACATGATAGATTTTTCCATATGCATCGATTTGCATGTTACTCAAATAAACAAAACTTTTGTGAAACAAGATCTGAAAGGAGTGTTGAAGTATATAGGGTAGAAATTTGGACACCTTCCCCGCCCCGCCCCCCCCCCCCGCCCCCCCCCCCCCCCCCCCCCCCCCGCCCACCCACACCTACACCCNAAAAAAAGTCTGAAAGGAGTGGGGAGGGATGTGGGGCGCAACCTTGGCCCCCCCCCCCCCCCCCCCCCCCCCCCGCGCTCCTTCCCACAGCCTGTGACAGACGAGCTCCAGAGGATCACAGTCGTGATAAGTGGTCTCTATAGACAATCACAGGCCATGGCAGACTTTATTAATATAAGATTAACGACTGTATATCAGTAAGATCTCATTCGAATAGATGAACTATGCCCTCATTGCAGTTCTTGAGGACTAAGTAAAGAGCTGTGAACTAATATATCACAAAATAGATTGAACGAAACAGTTCCCAGATGATTAATAACAACAGCACCATCGTGTTTCACATTTTAATCCCATAGAAATTGCGCTAACAGCTTTCAGCAGTAAAGTTGATTGATAAACCATTCAAGCGAAATATTGATTTCCGTCTTAGACGAACACAATTGGTTCATTATTGCAGAAAGAAGTAAAATATGCAAATAATTTATTGCATGCTACTGTCCCCGTCGTGGCACATATTGATCCAAAAATGACAAACAAACACAGGTAAACGTAATTGACTTGTCTTTGTGATCAATTTTTCTGCTACTCGTTGATTTTGTCCATAACCATTAACCAAACCACCCAAAGGAATCTTCAATTTATATCTCTTTATGAATAACAGATTATATTACACTCACCGTTGAGATGTATTGGAAAGGTATATAAGTTGAATTATATGTTGCCAGATAAATGATTTCTCGAGTACCACATATATTTTGACCATAGAGTTTGCTGTGTGAAAGCACACAATTGGCTGTATCACCACGGTGAAAGATTATATCAGTTTAATTAGCTAATGATTTCTATGGTTCATTGTCTAATCAAAAATATGTTTTAGTTATATGATGTCGTAATGAAATAATGCGTTCTTGGTAGTTTTTCTTCCCTATATCGTTGAAGAGCATATTTTCGCGAATGTGATTCAACAGATTCATTAAATATCCTACATTTTACAAGACAAATAAATTTACAATTTTAAGGATAAACCGTTAATAATTCAGTCAGTAGAAAACCATCCACAAATGCTGTAGCTCTAGTAATGAACACCATCGAGTAAGAACGGTATATATTCTTATGTCTACCCACCATGATGTTCAAATCCAATTGAGAGTCATTCAATAGCTGGAATAGGATAGAATAAGACATTGAAGAAATCTGAGAAAGATCTTTAATAAGAGTTTTTAATTGTTGAATTGTCATGATAAAAGGTTCAAAGAGTTCATTTATTGGTACAGGTTTTCCAAGATCATTTTCGATGATACGAAATAAGCGCACAATTGTCAATAAATCATCATCGTTAACAATCAAGAAATTTTCTTTTTCATCTTTTGATATAATTTGCCCTACTGCACTTTCAATGATAGGTTTTAGTAGCTGATCAATAGTGTTGATTAGTTTCAGTATATCTGCATAATGTATACCAAGCTTGTGATGGCAAGATTTGAACGAAAAAGTCAGAAGAACATTTTCTGGTGTGTAAAGTTCAAAATCAATAAAAATTGTGATAGAATATCATGTGTTCGAATCGATTCTTTCTTGACGATGCAATAAAGATCTAGAACTGCATCCAGGGACATAGATAGAGAGGCTGTGGCGTGTAAGATGTAACGCCCGCCGCTTTCGA